TTTTTGCGGAAAAGTGTCCGTGCCAATCTAGACGCACTTTTCCGCAAAAAAAGTCCTGATCGCCATTTTCGCGATCGGGGCTTTTTTGCGGAAAACAAAGCTGAGCTGTCTACACTGGCCCTTTTGCGCAAAAGTTGTGCGCAAAAGGACTTTTGCCCGAACGGGAGCAGCATAGTATTTCCACAAGAATACTGACAATCTTACATGAGATCATCAGTGCTTTTGCGGAAATTCAAGCGGCCAGTGTAGACAGCTGGCAAGCTTTTCCGGAAAAGTGGCTGATTCCGGAAAAACTGGCCAGTCTAGACACAGCCTAACTGTTTAAGCTTTAACCTGACTCCTTCAGTTGCTGTAACAGAACCAAGCACAATTTAAAAGAACTTCAGCTGGTCATAAGGGACAGGTATAGGGAGAGCTTGGGCATTTGGATCGTGTCGCTTCCAGAGGACAGATCCATAGGGGCTGCCCGCTGCGAAGGGATCCTGTATCCTAGCAGTTAAAATCTGAGATGTAATAAGCTCTTCCTATAAACTCTGAGGTGTCTGTCAGCCTGTTGGCTGCCTGCCGCAACGGGACCCCGGTCCTAGTAGTAAAGACACGGACCTTAAACTTCTCAGGGCGCCCTTCAGCCTCCTAGGCTGCCCGCTGCAATGGGACCTTGCATCCCAGCAGTTGAAGACTATGGTGTGACACACACACACACACAACACACACACACACACACACACACACACACACACCCCGACTCCTTCACTCCTCATCCCAACCTTCTGCCCTAATCCCCCCACACTCCACTGCTAAAACAGCACCAGTTCCCTGCTCTGAGTCCTTCACCTCCCCCACCCCATGCTGAGTCCTGCATCCTCACCCCTTGCCCTGAGCCTGTCCACTTCCCTCACTGCACCCTGAGCCCCCCACTCAATGCCCTGCCCCCAAACTTCTACCCTGTGTCCTGAGCCCTCCATCCACTGCCCTCACTCCAACACCCTCTACCCCCTGCTCTGAGCCCCCCCCAGTCCTCCTTGCCCTCACTCCTGTTCCTCCACTCTGAGCCCTACTCCCTGTCTTAACTAAGGCACCTTCTGCCCTGAGCCCCCCTCCATGGAACCCTGTGCCTGATATTTCCCCTCACTCTTCTTTGGTTAGGTTAAACAAGCCAAACTCTTTGAGTCTCCTCTCAAAAGGTAGGTTTTCCAATCCTCAATTCATCCTACTAGCCCTTCTCTGCATCTGTTCCAGTTTTAAATCATCTTTCTTAAACATGAGACACACACAGAACTCCAGATTAGGTACAGCATTGCCTTGTATAATGGTACTAACACTTCCCTGTTTACAGGAAATACCTCACATGATGCATCCCAGGAATGTGTTAGCCTTTTTCATGGTTGCAACACATAAATGGCTCTTAGTCACCTGTGATCAACAAACACATTCACATCTTTTTCCTCCTTTATCACCAGGTGTTGCCAGGTGTCCAGTTTTGAACTGGACAGTCCAGTATTTGAGCTTTCTGTTCGGGAAACAAATTGAGAAAATATAAATGTCCGGTATTTTCTAAATAACATGTAATGTAGATTGTGATGTAATGTCAAGTGTGTCCAGTATTTTCATTGAAACCATCTGGCAACCCTATTTGTCACTTCCAACTAACAAATCTTATAGAAAAATGTCTTGTTGTTTGCCCCTAAATGCATGATCTTGCACTTTGCACTATAAAATATCATCCCATTTCTATTACTCCAGTTTACAAAGTCATTCAGATTGTCTTGTATGATGTTCTGGTCCTTCTCCATTCTGGAAATGCCTCCCAACTTTGTGTCATCTGCAAATTTATTTTTAGCGCACTCCCACTTTTTGTGCCAAGGTCAGTAATGAAAATGTTAAATAAGATTGGTTCCATGACTAACCTCTGAGGAATTCCACTAGTAACCTACCTCTAGCTTGACAGTTCAGCTTTCAGTATATCTATTGTAGTCTCCCCTTCAATCAGTTCCTTTCCACCTTTCATTTAAGTAATAATTTCTCATGTGAAACTGTATCAAATGCCTTACAGACATGCAGATAGATAGATCTACTGCATATCATTT